AATAATCACAGTCAGGACAGCTTCACATCTCCCACTTTACCTGATGAGATTTCTGGTGTTTTCTTTCACGAAAAAGTGAGTATCTGCCAAAAAAACCCCGAACTTTAAAGCAATAATAAATTGCTGTGATTATTCCTTCCCAGCTGTGGGAATGTTTAAATTGCAGCACTAAATGGGGATACAGCCTGCAGCATTCATAGAGATCTATGAGAGGAATACAACCCTACAGTCTCAGTTGTAAAACGAAGTGGCCATCTGAAGGTTCATCCCACCATTGAGATGGGTGCTAGCACTGCTTTACAACACAAGGCTTGCGCTTTCCTGTGCTCTGCAGCACCTGCAGCCTCTTCCTGCAATGAAGAATCTCGTACATAAAAATAGCCAAGAGGTAATCTCAGTTTTGTGGAGAAGAGAGGAAAGACAACCCTCAAACTTTTTCTTACAGTGACTCTACTTTCTTTGAAGCAGGTTGCTCAAACTTACCTGGCTTACAGCTGGTGTGCTGGGGGTCAACACTAAACACCTGAAGATAAGCAACAGAACCCTTACAGAGTGTTCACTGTGCTCCCACTGGAGACAACTCTGGTTTTAGAAACAAAAGTTGGGCCATAACTGAATGTAATATCCCACTCTATCCTCTCTAAGAAGTTATTCTACCCTCTCTCCTCAGATAATCTCCCTATAGCTTTATTATGGATGCTTTATTAAAATAATATTTGCACTACCCTTAAGGAGCTGCTTTTAGATTGTTCTGCTTTAGGTGTTAACTGCACTTTCTTTTCCTCACAGAGCTTTCCCAAAGCAAAGGAGGAAAAATCACTGTGCTAGAGCAAGTGCAACTCAGCTACTGGTGCTAATACTTTAATTGCATGCCCTCAGAAGATTTCTCTGTAAGCCAATATTCTCTTGTATAATACATGTATATACCCTGCATACATGTACTCTGCATATACATATGCACATATGTTTATTAATGACACAGTGTATCATTCACTTATAAATTTTCCTACATTAAATGGCAGCTTTTAAGGAAAAAAAATTAATCATTTTTAGACCACCGGCTGTATCAGCAGCTGTCAAAAACTGTAATCTTGGCTCCAATCAAGTTACATGTTACACACTTTATTAGTAACATATAATGGTAAGGAATGATGCCACCCACATACACATACGTACAATATTGCAATCAGAGAATATTCATAGGGTATTTTTAATTTCCTCTTGAAACAAAGAATAGGACACTAACAAAACCAAAATGTTACAACAAAAATCTTTGCTATCTTCATGAGAAGAACAGAGACATGAGCAGTAAATAACACAGGTCTTAAATGGAAATACATTTCTCAGGATTTTTTTTGCTTAATCCATTCTAGTTCATGCATTAACATCACTTCTCCCTCTCCACAGACTTCAGACCAAATGGTGGTGGTGGGGAAATCACATGCGATACAATAACTTGGCTTGTAGTCTATGAATCATTAGTAGCCTATAACACTTAAGAAGGTGGTACATATATATACTGAAAAGACAGCAACTGAAAAGGTCACGTTCCCATTCACGCAGGAAAACTCATGAGTTCACAGAATGGAAAATGAAAGCGATAAAGGCCTATAGCTTAACCCAATTTCACTTGGTTGTAGGTGCACAAGATAGTGCAAAGATTTCTCAAAAAGCATTTTTTCATTAGGCAACATAGGCTGGCAGCTCTAATTACACACTCCAGTGATCGTCTCTGACACAACAGACTGTCTTGAACAAAAGAGATGACCAAGAGGATGAAATTAGGAAAGCCCTATTAACCCAAAATGATTCATATGTATTCCACCCACTTCTTCCCTTGTTCTTTCTTCCTTGTAAAACATAAGCATTCAGCAACAGAAAGAGAGGTTATTAAAGACAAGCACCTATCTACAAAATGAATGCTCTGAAGGATTTCTCTACCAAGCTAAAGGAGAAAGCTCCTGATTGCAGCAATTCCAGACTATGCCTTACAGGTCTCATATTTTCACACCCAGCCAACAGAAACAAGTGTTTTAAGGCCATGTTAGGAATCCTAAATAAAAGTGGGTCGACGTTTTCTGGATCTCTCCCACTGAAGTTAGCAAAAGTTTAAATGGTCTGGAAAAACAGAGACAGAGTTATTTTAAAGGTTAATCTCTGAATCTTGTAGCTGAAAGTTTGCAATTACACACCCTGGTGGGCCCCTGGGAACTTGGGGGCAACACCCTTGCTGATGGTCATCATTACATGAGTTCCCCTGCATCCTCTAGAGTGCTCTTGAAGCACTCAGAAGCACAGCGAAGAGCAAACACTGATGCATGGGATTGGGATGCCCCTCCTCACTTGGTTTCCCACTACATCCTCTCACAGTTCATGTGTAATTCCATTCATTACATGATAACCTCTTTAAGCAGTTACAATTTTTAGCCCTCACCTCTACTCCTACTGGAGGGCTGAGCCAGAATCTCAAGACTAAGACAGTCAGAAACCCTATTTCCAATTCCAGATTGATGTTTGATTGGGTGGATGTTGTTTCTTTAAAAAAAAAAAAAATTAAAAGCAAAAAAACCAAACCCAAAGCCCAAACTACGACAAATTTATTTCTGCCATGAGCCAGAACCTCTGTTCTGTCAAGAACCTCACTTTCTTGACAGACAGATGATTACTGCATAAAATTCTGGTTTGTTCTTTATTTGCTCTTTTTTTTTCTGCTGAGCCTTTTATTCAAATATTTTATCATTGCCTGGAAATAGCTCACAGGTTTCCAACTTTCAAGCTCCTTTTAGAGGGGCAGTATTAAATCCAGGATGTAATTAAGCCTTCATTATTAGGAATATTTTCTTTTCAGGGACCCGGTGGGGTTTCCAGCATGCCAAAATCTTGTTTGGACCTTTTCAGAGCGTAGCCAAGTAATTTGGCAGAAGATAAAAAACACAAGGAGCCAGCAGGGCTAGAATATTTTTTCTATAATCAGCTGAACGTAACTAAAGAAACTGGAAACTAGTAGTGAGGAAAGGAATTAAAAAATAAATTTTAACAAGGAAGAAAGAAGCTCAGTCTTTGAATTTGAACAGTGTGTACTGGACATTTCAGAAAGCTTTCTGGATACTCCCAAAGACTTTCTATTGGACATTTGAAAACACTTCCCCAAAACTGCAAAGATATTACCTTGTTAAGATTTTGCAACAGCAGAAGTACAAAGTAACCACGGGCCACAAACACAAACACTTACTGAATCTCTATCTTGCCAAAGAACATCTATATTTTGGCACACATTATTATAATTTTTCCAAAGTGAAAAGCCACCCACAGATAGCAAAACACAAAAACTTCCACTTTGCTCACTCTGACTGAAAACGTGTACATCCCCTGATGGGGCAGCTTATATCACAACAAGTCATTAAATGTAAAGAAGTCCTCTCTAAATCTACAGTGAAACAAGAAAGAGAAAAGCATTTAACGATATCATACTTGGGGTTAAAAAATTCCCCATATCCAACTGTAACAATCCATGGAAAATTTGAATAGGATTCCACCTTCTGGGTGGCACTATCTCTGTGGGAACTTAGAAAGCATCATTGATGATACTGAACCTTATGGCTCAACTTAAAGGCTGCTAAGGCTTAAATGTTCGCAAAACGTCCACTAACTCAGGTCTGACTTTTTCAGTAATAGTAGGGCCTCAATATTATTGTAGTGCTATCAGTTCTATCTACACACCTACAGAGCACAAGGTAAAGGAGAATATTTTTAGAAGCATTGCAGTGAGAAATCCACATCACAAATTCAGATAAATGTAATAACACAAGGTGAATGTTAACGAAGTCCGCTCCTTTTGTAGCTAAGATGCATGATATAAACAGCAAACATTTCATCAAAGATCACAATTTTCCTTTCAGTCATCCTTACAGCTTTTAACTGCACAAGACATGATTTAAGTTACATGAGCACAAAAATTTCACGAGACAAATGATACGATTCATCACGCAGAGAAATAAATGCAAAAAAGGGTAGAACACATTTTCTGATATTCCACAAATATTCAGAGGCAGTTTAACACACAAAATGGAATTTCTTCAGCAGCACTGATTAAACGCAAGATGAGGCAAGGATCTGCTTTACAAAGTAAAGGCACCAGCTCTTTGTAAACACGTACTCTTCTCACTTTAACCGAGAAAGCACTCAAAATACTCCATGGAGGCAACCTGTGTGGTAGCGTTCCATTGCCTATAAATGCTTCACAGTAGAGATATCAGAGGCCTTTCTCCTCCTTTTTACTATATTTCATATGAAATGTTTTTTCTTCAATTTATCTAGTGGGAAAATCTTTAAAATCTCCCCAAAAATGTTTCAATGAATCTGTAAGGAAGTGGTTTCTCTTACCTGCCTTCTGATATCTATCAAGAAGTTCCAAGGCAAAAGAAACATCGGATGGCAGTATGAAACACACGTTTGCAGTTATCTCTTGTTTTCAATATTGTGCTATAGACAGTTTCCCAGAAGGAATCATTGGCTTATATTAAAAATACAGATAGATTTGAAAAAAAGGAACTTGTGTACATCCTCCAGCTGTGCTGCTACCTACTCTCTGACTTTTCAAATGCACTAGCAAATATTGAACAAGAAATTAACTCTCAATTGTCTGGGGAAAAGAAGATTAGATACTTCTCAACATGATGACTGTACTTCAGGATTCCAGATTTTTTCAAGTATGCATCCTGAGTGTACATGTCTCCCTAGCATGGCGAGTATTCACACAGTTCTTTACTAATGAAACTGCAAAACTTGAAAACTGTTAAAATAAATATTCCGTACAAACGTGAACTATTTGCATCTTGGGCAAAATGAACTGAGCATCTTCATAGTTTCCACCACACAACTATCACCAATATCATCAAACACATTTTACTACTCATATATACAAATCCAGTGATTACACTAATTAATATTGTCCAGTATCCAACCAAACTTGTGCATTTCTAAGCCACCTTCTTTCTGTTTTATAAGGCTGACTGAATTTTTAATGTAGTACTTTCAGGTTCTACAGGACTATCAACTGGTACCTGGAGAGGGGGGAAAAAAAGGCAGAAATTAAGCTGTTGTACAGCAGAAGCTATTCCTAACTTCAGTATTCTTGGGTAATTATTAGGTTAGACTCCAATAGTATATGTAGTTAATTAGCCAAATTAGAAATCTTTAGAAAGCTCTAGTTTCCTTTTTCTCCATAATTAAAAAAAAAACCAAAAACATAGAATTGAGTTTCTTAGTATAACTCTAAAGTATTTACTTAATGCACATAGATATTTATCACATGGAGATTAACTCTCAGCTTTTTTTCTCCATTACATTTAAATACAGTAGAATCTTGATGATCAAGGTTTAGAACCAAACTGCTATTGTACCTTATTAACATGGGCAGCTCTCAATTATGTCTAGTAATATCAGGGCAAGGACTCCAGGCTTTTGTTATATCCTGGCTAATATAAATGAAGTTGTGAGACAGTCTAGGCTAATTAGCAAGGTCATAACAGAAAACAGAACAGTCACGGACCACTGCCTATAGTCAGCATGTACACCCCCAAGATCGCCCCAACCCAGGCTGGTAAAACCCACAGGATGCCATACTGTGCACACACAGCTGCACAGGTTTCAGGTTCACATTAGCTCATATAGCACCAGCTTGGAAGTTTCTGGACCTCAGGCAGACACTAATAGTGTGCTATCACAGGTGATCAAAAGCTGCTCCATATGCAAGACACCTACACATAAAAAGAGGCATGACAGAGGACCTTTCAATATCTGACTCCAAAAAGCTGTTTCACTATCTTGATCCAAATTATCAAAAAAACCACAGAGGTAAAAAAAAAGTTTCCAATGTCAGCCTATTTCTACTAGTGACTGGGATAATTTGGAAAAGCTGCCGAAACATGGTTTTGGGACCTCCTGAGCAGCAAAAAGTGCTATGCTCACTCTTCATTTAAATCGAGAGACTGCTTAGCGGAAGAGCAGACCCAGCTCTTCATACAGCACAGTATAGAAACTGCAGCATGACTTCTGTTCATCAGACACTTACTTTACTTAAACTGCAGGTATTTTAAATAAAATATGTAGTCTATAACACAGCCTCCTCCAATGAGCAGGGACATCTTCAACTGGATCAGGTTGCTCAGAGCCCCATCCAACCTAACCTGGAATGTTCCCAGGAATGGGCCATCTACCACCTCTCTGGGCAACCTGGGCCAGGATTTCACCACCTTCATGGTGAAAGATTCCTTCCTTGTATCTAGTCTAAATCTACCCTCGTTTAGTTTAAAACCATTACCCCTTGTCCTATCACTACAGGCCCTGCTAAAAAGTCTGTCCCCATCTTTCTTTTAAGTCCCCTTGAAGTACTGGAAGGCTGCAATAAGGTCTCCCTGGAGCCTTCTCTTCTGCAGGCTGAGCAACCCCAACTCTCTCAGCCTGTCCTCACAGGAGAGGTGTTCCATCCCTCTGGTCATTTTTGTGGCCCTCCTCTCCAACAGGTCAGGAAAATCTGAGAGCAGAAGGTTTTTAACTTTTTTTTTTTCCCCATGGGAGCTAAAGGGAGAAATAGATACGTGAAGGCAGCATCCCACATGGCTCTGTTGTTCCAAAACAGCATGGAAAGTGTGATGTAAGTTTTTGTCAATTACTCTTTTGCTGTTAATATTATTATGCCAATAGAAAACAAGCATTCAAGTACAGTAATACAGTCATGGTAAAAAGAGTCACCACTTACAGCTTTAACATCCAAATTCATAATCCCTGAATTCACATTGTGTCTTCGCAAATCTGATTTTATTAAGGCTGAAACAAAAAAAATAAAGAGAAAGCATGTTCACAACTTTGCAGTTCAAGGGAAACGTTTGTACACTATAAACACACAGAAGCTGCTTTCAGCGCATATTCAAAATACCTGTATTCACTCTTCTGCGATTTGTACTTATTGGCAATTTGAACTTGCTCCTCACAAAGCACACGCAGAAAATTACAATAAAAGCTTTTAAACCATGAGTACTTAAAGGAAAGCTTGATAGTTTTAGCATTTTCAGCACATCTGTAAGAACCCGCATGTGTAAGTCACTGGTATAGTTCAGGAATACATCAGCAACTTTTGCATTTGGAAAACTGCAAACTCTCTCCATTTATGTATTTGCTCACATTTACTATCCTACTCTGGAGATAGACAGGACTCAAGAAATGGGTGACAGATGGCTGTCCATGTATTAGCAACATCATCCTTAAAACAAAGGGTGTGCACACAGCAAGTATTTAAAGTGAAAAACAAAGGAAAAAAACAAAAACAAAAAACACACCCTGCACTTACAACTTCTGTCAGCCCAGACAGGGAGTCACATATATTTAAATCCTAGATGTCTGAGACATCTAAAAACTAGCCAGAAATTCATAATCTCAAAAAGACCTCCACATTTTTACATTAAAGAGAAATTATTACTTACATTTCTGATTAATTACCTGTTAAGATAATGCCCACAAAAATCCAAGCACAAAGAAAGAGGTTTCCTGCACGAGGATTGTAGTCTGTTGTGAGTTTTCCTTGAACAAGTGTAAAGACAATTCCAAATATCTATAAACAAACAAGTTACTTCATCAGGATCACATAGAAAAGAGTCACTACTTTACCTTGCAAAGTTTCAGGTCACATCTTATACAAACCAAATTGAAAAAATTAAGACTACAGCAACACAACAGAAACTTAGCAGCCAAGTCTAAGAAAGCCGTCTTAGATTTGAGCAGAGTGGCCTTCCTGAACATTACTTCATTTGAAGAAATAAAATTATATAACCTGTGCTGATGCATTAAGGAGACCAGAGGAAGTGCCTTCAGACTCTGGGTATGTAATTTCCACAGCAAATTCAAACCCAAGGGGGAGATAGCCAGTCATGAAGAACCTGTTGAAGAGGAGAGTAAGAGGATGACAGGTGTGGCCTTCATTTATTACTACAGTTAAGAAAATCAAACATAAACACATGGTATTATGAATTAGCTGGTATTCTGAACTGTCTGTTTTCAAGATCTAACATGATTCAATAGTTGCTTTGCCTGCTTCATTCCCTTGACCTCATCCAACAATTGTAGCCGTACATCTCTTTTTAGGACAAGGATGTTTTAACATATTTGTCCCGTTTTCCATAACCACTCCATACATATGAAACAACCTTCTCTGACCAGTCCACAAACCACCCGATAACTGAAGCCAATTACTTTCAAATGAAAGACATGCATGAACACCACCATTTGATCAGCCCAAACATCCGTGCTGGAGGACAAAAGTAAGAGACCATATGTAGGGAGCGAGGCTGAACACTGGAATATCTGCTAGAAGCTGCTGTGGAAGAAGCCGAGGGGACCAACAGGTGACAAGAAGACCAGGGGCTTAATGCGGTTGAGGTTGGCTGATTGGTTTTTGAACTGAAACTCAAGACACTTTGGGCTCTGCCTTGACTGCCATGCCTGGATACAGCACCTTTCCCTCAGCACCTTTTGGGGCTTTTACACTACATATCTATGAGAAGTGCACACGCTCTTCTGAGTGAACAAAGCACTTGGTACGTTGCTTGGCCTATCAAAATATAGATTAATCAAAATGCACAGAAGCCAATCTTCCTAGATTTGCTCAGTTAAACTCTAATCACTTACCCACCAGTCAACAGAAAGATAAAACTTTACTGCAGGCAGCTTTTTGAATTGGAACCAAACAAACTGACCACATAGACACTTCTGTTATGCCCATAAAAATGATAAATGAAATTCACTGAAAACTGAATTATTTTAGATTTATTCTGATGTAACAGAAGGTGAAACCCCAGTAAACCATATCTGTACTGTGAGCTATAGGCATAGGTTGAGAGCTTGATGACAGAATATACAGTAGAATCATTTAGTTAAAAGTTAAATATTGTTTTTGGATGGAACTACAGCAAGTCTTCTAGTCCTCTTTAATTGCTCACCCAAGTACTCCTCCAGTCACAAACACTACTATAAGGTATCCGAGGTCCAGGGTGAAAGTAAATACCAGCAATCCAATGAAAGAGAGAATGTAAACAATCAAAGTAGTTTGCCTGCAACCCAACCAAAGGAAAAAAAAATGTAAAAAATTAACATTATTAACATAAGGTCATAGCATATTGCTGAAGCACAGAACAGTAACACAAACATTACATAACTGTCTGACAACTGACATCCTACAGCTATAAAATTTGCTTCATGTAATTCTGACTCAAACATACCATGCAATGAGAATGTATCCCTAAAGTCTTTATTGCCTTGGTTACATGGTTGCTTCACTCAAGGCTAAAGAGACTGACTCAGACTCTTTGTCAAAGAGTGGACAATCACAGCATATACTATTACCTTAAGACTATTTTCGTTCTCTGCTATCAAAATACAGATTGTACCTCTTGGCCATTCTGTAGTGCTGCCCATTATACAATACTTCAATACATGAGCAGCCAAATCGAACACTATTAGTGATAAAAGTCAGCCTAAGAGGCAAGTCAAACAAATCTCATTACAATATTCTATTTATTTTAAATCTGGAATAAGGGATGTCATTCAAAATATTAAAGCACATATCACTTATCTATAAGCCCAAACACATGCAGAAACAAAGCCAATCTGCATCATTAACATCCATTAGGTTTCTAGAGCTCTTGCACATAATATACTGAGAGTCACAGGGGAGAACTACTCCACTGCAAGCAGCACTTCAGGACACTGCTCACTCCTGGAGGGCACCACACCATGGATGATGGACCCAGGAGCTCCTACCGCCTAACAGAGTTCTGCGCCATGGTCACCTCCTGAGTTAAAGCAAATGTTATGCTTACTAATAGGACCAGAAGTAGTATTTAAAAAAAGATAATCCATCAACTGTCCATTTTAGAAAACAACACAGAGTAGGTTTTGAGCCTTTATGCTTTCCTAGGAGAAGGAGCCCACTGGGCCACCTGGCTACTGTATGTATGACATACAGTGCTTTCCTTGTTAGCCTTACACTCCTGAAGAGGCAGGAGTAGATGGAAAAACCCTTCGCATCTTTACATTCTCCTCTCTCATTTTGTTTGGCCAAGAGCCAGTAAGAGTCTCAAGCTTTTGCTGTAGCCTCAGAAACTAGTCTCCATCAAGGCTGCTAGAAGATCAGGGATGAACTGCATTTTATCATCGGTTCACTTCACGTGAAGCCCTTACGTTGTAGTATTTTTCTAATGCAATTGCACTGCTCTCCTACCCCTAACCCCATACATGCCTACCCACACTTACTTGTATGTTTTAGTGTAATCCAGCCACAAACCACAAATAATCGAACCCACCATTCCTGCCACCACCAGTGTCAAGCCAATTCTCCCAGCGTTCACTTCTTCTCCCTTTCAACAAATATTTATATGGTGCTCATTAATAACTTGCTTCCACTCAGAGTCAAGTTCAGACCTCTTGGCAGTCATAAGCGCAAACAAACATTCCTGACTCCCATAGTTGTATGGTGCAAGAAACCGTAGGGAGGTATAAAGGAAACCAAATGTCCGAGCACACACAGCGCCTACATAATAAGAAACATCATCCCTGCAAATGTACAGTAAAAAAAACAAACAACAACAAAAGCACAAAAAGAAGATTCAAGAATCTTACCTCATAATGAGTTACTATCATCTGGTTTAATAACGTGGAAACAGAATAAAATGCCCCAGTCATAATACCTGCAGTACCAAAAGAAAAGCTTCAGTCATTCCAAGTGTAGCCACACAGATCTGCTACCCTAAAGAGTTGATCTTCTGATATTTAAGACTCACATCAGAGGCAAAACTTTTTATCTGCCAGGTAAAATCTCTTCACCAGACCTACAAATGGTATTTTGAATCCTGCCAGATTTTCCAGCACTGACACTCCCTCCCCCATAAAAAAAAGCACCAGCACAGCTAAAGCTCGATGTGCTTTCAGCACACATTTGAACCGTTCTGCCAGACTACAGCCAGACAGCACCACTTACCATAACTGATCAGCAAAAGTACAAATGGAGTATTTCTGAACAAGTTAATAATCGACTGCTTGTAGGAGTAATCCTCGGGAGGCATAGTTTGCAGGACTGCTTGAGAGTGACTAGGAGGGTATTTGGGCTTTTCTTCAAACACTAGGGAAAAAGAAGGAGGAAAAATTTTGATTTGTCTTCACCAGACTAATGTTTTTTCTTTTTGAAGTGTTTCAGTTTGATGAATTTCAGAAGATTAACTCGCATTTTTTAACACTTCCATGAAAAAAATATTCTAGATTTTCTCATGGAAGAATCAAGTCACAGCCACAAAGGATGTGCTAGTTATTTGGTCACATCTGAATGCTACCAACATATGGTCAAGGACAGGCTTCATCTGCAATGTGTCTAGACATTTGTACCTGAATTCTAAGATTAACAGAGAGAAGTCACATTATATCATAATGTCCTTGTAGCAAAAAGCCTAAGTGAGCTAAATACTCTGAGAGAGGTCACCCCACACACATACAGTAAACAGGCTGTTGCTTAACCTTGGCACAGCAGGTAAGTGAACACAAGTAAACTGGAGAAAATGTAACCTCAACTACTTTGAGCAAAGTCAGATGCTTTAAGTGAGATGTTGCAAATGCTCCTTATTTAACCATTTAAATTACAAAAATGGAACACTTACCAACTCCCGTTAAGAAGAACAAAAGGGTGGACACCATTGCTGTTCCATAGAACATGATGCTGATGTTATGTGCCATTAGATCGATATCGTTAGGTGTATTTGGAACCAAAACAGGTGGCAACAAAAAGCCAATTGCAGTGCCAAGCTGTACAGCAAGGAAAGAAAACCAAAATAATTTTCTTGTAAATATAATTAACAGAAGTGAGAAGCCTTTACTAGGTAGAATTCAGAATTCATATCATAATAAGCATTAGTAAAACTATAAAGGAAAAGCATTCCTTTAGTATCATACTTCTGAGCCATTTGCTCACAATGACATTTCACTATCAGGTTTTCCATAACTCAGTTTTTAACCTTTTCATTTCTAAATTAAACTACATATAGTATAGTATATATATACTACACAGTATACAGCACATTCAACAATTAAGCATTAAGGAAGTTTTTTTGCAAAAGAATCTTTCACAGGAAAATCTGTGCCCATGTGCATGCACATAAATTTGTATCAGTCGTTCTGCAACTGAAGGCCTACAGACAACAGAAGACTCCAGCTACTCTTGTAGAAATGCTCTTCTCTTTTTCTCCATCAAAACACTCCACTTGATGTCATGATCCTGCCATTACAGCAACAAAGACTGGCATGCGAGGTTTGTCGCAGAACTGATAGAGCAGAGAAGAGCAAGAGAAAAGGAACATCCTTATTAAGAAACACAAAACCAAAACCTCCATCTGCAATTATTGCTAAGGAAATAAAGAAAAATTACAAAATAAAATAGTAGTGGGTTTGTATCTGGAGTCAATTCAAATGTACCAACTGATTTTGTATTAAACAGAGACAAAAACAAGGACTGACATTTTGGGTATACATACAAAGCATTTTAAAACGTGAAGGAAGAACAGTCAGACTACTCTCCAATTTATCTCTGCTGCTCCTCCAAAACTAAACAGCATTTTAAAGTGTTAGAACAATTTTATTTTTTTAAACTAAAACACCCTGCATCTATTTTGGGTAAAAAATAAAAATTAAAAAATAAAAAATAGCACCAAAGACTGTTAGAGTAGCAAGTCCAACACTCAGAAAGTACTCAAGTTAAAAGTGTGCCAGTGTGCTTTCAAAGCACCCTTTGTGCACATGCCCAATGAGGGTTTTTCTGCCTTTTTTTTTTTTTTGCCCCAGAGACCATCAGATTTACACAGTATCCCATGTTCACCTGAAGAATTTGTCTCTTTTTATCCTCACTCTTCAGTATATGAACACTACAAACACGAACTGAGAACACAGTTACTCTTTTTCTTAAGGTATGTTTTTTCCTCACGCAATGTGAGCCAATACAGTACCCACAATACTCCAAGAAAGTCAAGCAAGACCGTTTTTCACCTTTCACATCTAGAGAGGTTAAGGCCAGAAGGATCGAAAGTTCCAATGAGTCTGGCGTGCTCAGTTTAAGACGCTGAATACTTGTGGAAATATGGCACTCCTAACAACCCTTGACAGCTACATCGCCGCGTTCCCACCAATTTGTGTTTCAACTGCAAATGATCAGCATCTCAAGAGATAACGGGTGCGATCTGATTTTTGGTAACTCCTCTGTGCCTCCCCTGCCTGCAGTCCCAGCCCTGTTTGCTGTAGCTCTGAAGTTATGCAAAATATCTGGTAAGAAATCGGATGACCAACAGCCCAGCAACCCGTTACAGCAACCTGTTTCTGTCAGAGAGTTCACCTTGTGCACTTGAAGCACAAGCGAGACTGTACTGTAATGCATATGCAGAAGTGAACTGCATTGGGATATACGTTACTTCTAACTTCCAAGTGCCTAATTTGTCATTTTACTACTCTTTCAGTCTAGCTTTTGAGGGGTGATTTGTTTGGTTTTTTTAAGAAAGCAAAAATTGAGAACGGGGAAATTCCGTTGTTTGACACTCTATCAGTCTTCATAGGTCACAAGCAGAACTGGAATCCCAAGACCTGTGCAGCACACGGCTCTGAGCCAGTGGGGTACAGCACAGCTGCAGAATATGCCATTATCCTGTGCGCAGGACTGCCAGAGGGAGATGAAACACACTTTGTCTGTGCATTTTGCAGGTATTTCCCAGGTAGGTGGTAGAGGACCACCAAGCACATCAGCACGTTAAGGTGAGTCCTAGCTTCAGCAGGGAAATACGCTCCAGGAATAACTAAGGTCTTTTGTTGACAATTCTACTCCTATTTTCCTTGTCCATCCTTCTCGTAGCTCCTATCCATGAAATCCCTGCTCCTGTCCTTCCCCACTTCAACCCTCACATCTCAGCATCCAAGCAAAGCATCCATATCAGACTCCCAGGTGGATTATTGCCACTGTACTGCAGAACTGAGACCCCAGTAACTCCTTGCTACTAGGAAGACTGGTGCATGTCAGGAGAAGTGAAAACTTAGCTGCCAATGAAACCTTTAACCTGATTCTAGGAAGCAGATGCAAAATTTTTGCTCAACTGCTGAAACAACCAATCAACTCCCAAATCTTCAGTCCAAAAGGGACAGCTGACTTGTCCACTGGAAGACTTCAGTTAAAAAAAACAAAACAAAAAAAATGTTTGGAAAAACCTTTGGGAAAACTGTAAGCAGCCAGGTATGAGATAATGAGCAACCCTAACTGTAAATATGTAACATTAATATTACCCCTGTAATAATCCAAAGTGCACAAACATAACATCATTAGACTCACATGAGGATAAACAAATCCCCTGTTACCTTAATCGAACTGTACCTATGACCTCAGCCACGCCAGCGATGTTCATGGGAATCTTAATGTTTTGTCTCCACAAAAAAGCAGGGACAGTGGCAAGTGGTGAGAACAAGGCTATGCAAGGAATAAAAACTCATCAGCATCACATCTTCACCTGTGCTTTCAGATATGGTTATTCCAGCTCTCTCAAACCAGCCAGGACCAGGGAGCTCGAGGAAATCCGTGACTCAGTGATCAGCTCCCCACAGTGACATGAACTACCACAGCGTTACAGAAAACTTCATGAGTCACCAAGGCATTGACTACTGGCACTTAGTGATTCAAGGCCCTGTTTTAGAAAGCAGGAACTAATAGATGTTGGTATTGGGGCTTTCCACAAAAGTTCACATACTTCATCCCCCTCCAGCCAGGGGCAGATTCAGTCAGATGAATGATGTAAGAGACAAGACACTGAATACCAAGAGGAAGAGAAAGCAGAGCAGGATGACTTCTGAAAAGGGTCTCAGCTGCTGTACGCCGGACAGCTGATAGCAGCTCGCATGATTCTATGCACTGCCACATCGCCAGGGTCCTGCAAAGCAAGGCTGGCAGGAGAAGGTGGGACGGAGCATCACCTCCACGCTTGCCCCTGCTCTGTCACTCTTCCTCTCTCCAATGCTGCCCTGTAACCATTTCTTGGAGAATGCTTTTTCCCACTGAAACCACGTATTTTTAAAATCAATCCCACACCAAACGCTAAGGAAGCCCACTTCTCCGAGGCCTCCCTTCCCCCCTACCTGGTTGCCCAGCACGGCCACGGCGCAGGCAGTGGAGACCTCGGTGGGGCCGAACCAGACAGAGGCGACGCGCGAGGGCAGCCCCAGGATGAAGACCTGGGCGACGGCGCAGACGGCCTGGGCCGCCAAGGTGAGGGGGTACCGGCCG